TTCTGATGAAGGGTCTAGGCCCGAGGCGTCGGCCTCTCTGCTCCTGTGATGCTGCTTGGCCTGCTGTGTTCATCCGGCCCTGCACCTTGTTGTCTCTGTCATTAGATGAAAGATGGCTGAGGTCCCACAGGCTGAGCTTAGGGAGCTGGGAGAGAGACAGGTTGAAATGGATTGTCATATTATCCCCGGTGTTGTGTATTAGTGAACACAGAAATGGGAAGGTATAATTGGGGAGAGGTAGTGCGAGAGCTGGAGGATTTTAGATTCTTGAAACACTGGGCTCCTATTGGAGAGGTAAGACCTAAACAGTACAGACAAGTTGCATCTTATCAAGGGTGGAACTAAAATCCTTGATGGGGAATTTGATTGTCCTGCTGGGGAGGGAGAATTTAAATTGACTTGACATGGGGATAGGGACCTGAGACTAGATACATACGGGAGAAAAGTTGGAAATGGAAAGAAGGTTAGTATGCTTACAAGGCTAGAAAATAGATAACAAAGGCATTTGGCAATACCTCAATGCTGAAATTAGGGAATAAGGGAGATGAACTGAAGGCAGAGGCTAACATGTGTGCTTTAAGCTACTACTTTTAAGCATGCACATTGAGGTACCAATCTGGAATACCTAGGGCTGTGAATGTCTGCACACACTCTCTCCTTGAGAATGTTTGCTCTTTATCTCCAAGAAAGGTTGTTTGATTCCTGAGATACTGCAACACTCTTTTATTTGCATTGGTATATAATACATTATCAATTACAGATCTCTAGCGTAGTGTCTAAGACCTCCCTTTTCACATGCTGTCTCTAAACTAATATCTTCTATGTGCCTGATGTTGGAATCATGTGAGTCATTACATCATGATTTATATGAATCTCATTATATCACATCATGAACGTAAAACTGTTACTGGGACATAACTGAATGAATTGCAGATAGATAGGGTGATTAAAAAGGATGGGGGTTCGTAACATTGATGGAATAAACAATTATATCTATGAGGAGGGATGATATGTAGAGGATCAGCAAATGAGGATATATGGATTGACCTGAATTACGAAAACAGGGGGATAGGCTCACAACTGTATGTACCATAGCCTCCAAGCGACCAGAGGGAGAAGAGAAAAGCAAATATGCAGGCAAGTCTCTGTGAAAGGCAAACACAATAGAACAATAATAAAGGGAGGTTTCAATAATCCTAATAATTAACTGAGGTAGCATTGAGCATTGTGAAAGAAAGAGGGACCAGGATTCTTAAAAAAAACGTATTGAGGAGA